ACCCATACCCTCCTCATCACCCCTACCCTCCTCATCACCACTACCCTCCTCATTACCACTACCCTCCTCATCACCACTACCCTCCTCATTACCACAACCGGCGTGCCTCATCACCCCTACCCTCCTCGTCACCACTACCCTCCTCATCACCACTACCCTCCTCATTACCACTACCCTCCTCATCACCACTACCCTCCTCATTACCACAACCGGCGTGTCTCATCACCCCTACCCTCCTCATCACCACTATCCTCCTCATCACCACTACCCTCCTCATTACCACTACCCTTCTCATCACCACTACCCTCCTCATTACCACAATCGGCGTGCCTCATCACCCCTACCCTCCTCATCACCTCTACCCTCCTCATCACCACTACCCTCCTCATTACCACTAGCCTCCTCATCACCACTACCCTCCTCATCACCACCATCCTCCTCATTACCACAACCGGCGTGCCTCATCACCACTACCCTCCTCATCACCACTATCCTCCTCATTACCACAACCGGCGTGCCTCATCACCACTATCCTCCTCATTACCACAACCGGCGTGCATCATCAAAGACACTTCTGTAGCCTGCAGTACTGGCAGCGGTTCCTGTTGACCCTGTGCCAAGTTTCGCACCCACAACTCACCGTCCCTGGACATGCCGAGTTGCAGACACTTCTGCAGCCTGCAGTACTGGCAGCGGTTCCTGTTGACCCTGTCGACGACGCAGTTCTTCTGGCGGGGGCACTGGTAGTTCACCACCGACGACTGCGAGCGCCGGAAGAAGCCCTTGCATCCCTCGCACGTTATCACCCCGTAGTGCACCCCTGAGCTCTTGTCCCCGCACACCTTGCATGGGATGATCTCGATTTGTGCTGCAAACAACAACAATAATGTGTTACTAGAATATTATTTATTATAGTCATGATATACTTATTATTAGTTTTAGACTATTATTATTATGGTTGTGATATAATTAGTGTACTAGTGTGCGCTGTAAACAATAATAATATGTTACTAGACTATTATGATTATAGTTATGATATAATTATATTTAGTGCACGTTGCAAATAACAATAATAATATATTACTAGACTATTATGATTATAGTTATGATATAATTATATTTAGTGTACGTTGCGAACAACAACAATAATATATTACTAGACTATTATTATTATACTGTAGTCATGATATACATATAATTAGTATATATTGTGGTTACGTTTCTGTTATCTGATAGTGGTGCGAGATAGGGTATAGGATATAGGCGGAAGGGGTTTTTATGATATAAGTAGTAAAGATGGTATCACCCTCAACTGGGTATAATGGATGGTATCATTAAGGTGCATGGTAAAGATGGAATTATATAGGTGCCAGTGATGGTATTATATATGTGGTAAAAATTGTATCACCATCAACTTGGTATAAGGGATGGTATTATCAAGGTACATTGTAGAGATGGAATTATATAGATGCCAGTGATGGTATTATATAGGTGGTATAAAGATGGTATAATATAGGTGTAAGATACTGGTGTTATATTTGTGGTGAAAATGGCTTCGCCTAAGTACAAGTGATAGCATTAATATATAGGTGGAAAGGATGGTATTAAATAGATGCAATGGATGGTATTATTCACCGTCTATGCTACTAATGTCGCCATATCACTTAAGTCGCCAGGCTTTAATAGAAACTATAATGAATAAAACTGAACATGCCGGTACTTAGCTTCCACCTCCGGTACTTTAAGATTTGCGTATTTTAGAATCCTTGTACATTTTTAAACATAGGCCCAGTTAGAATTCAACTCAACTTATCCATGGAAATTGTGAATAGATAGTTTTTTGTGCTCTATTATCTGTAAATTTAGGTTTTTAATTGTGTTCTATGCTTTCAATTGTATTAATTTGTGACTTCCTATATGAATTTTAGATTCTAGGAACTGACGATGGAGCTGGACTCTGAAATGTTTTCTATAAAGATATGAATTTTTGTGGACTATTCTTTGCATTTAAATCTTAAGTGAACATATTTCTAGCACAATCTAAACAGCTTCATAGTTATTGAATGTTTTTGTAACCCTTATAAATCGTAGTTCTGATTAGTTCTGTAGGGTTTTTAGTGACAGGTGGCGAGGAATGTGCTGTGTCTGCTGGATGGCCTAAAAACGGCCAAGTCCGCGGACATAAATGGCCAAAAAAGGCTTTTATTCAAAATTTACTATTTAATTTGTTGGTCCCGGCACAAAAATTCAATTTTTTTAGTTTTTCAAATTTCGATAAGGAATTACCTACATCATAAATTTCGTCCGATGAACGCAACTGATAAAAAAAATAAAACGCGGAATTTATACACGGCCTTCAACGTGTTGGTGGCCTGGCACTAAGTGGCAGTGACGGTAGCTTAATGGCATCGCACCAAGTATTATCTATCTATTTATCTATCTATATTATCTAAATATTATCTATATTATTTATCTAGGTGCATGGTATGGTATATTCAGCTGTATAGAAAGCATGGTATTATCTAGACGCAGCTACCATCCCTCGCTCTATATTATAGCCAGGGATGATAATATAGAAGTGTAAAGGATATTATGTAGGGTAAATAAATGATATTGTTCTAGTGACAGAAGCATAGGATGGCCCAAGCATCCTGGGTCTGTACTCACTGTAGAGGAGACGGGAGAGGTATGTCATTCTGTACACATGGAAAATGATAACCGGATTGGTGCCAAACTTTGAGAGCGAGACCTTCAGGATTGAGACATATCACAACGAGAGAAGGGGGAGACTGTGTAAGATACCCCCCGTGTAACAGGTCTGCGGTCAGATTTCAATCCCTGCGAGAAGGATCACTTTCCGTGGCGGGGCCGAGGTTGTTTAACGTCCTACTAGGAAGGGATGGATCAAAGAGAGGGGGAGTTCACCCTGGAGACCTTCAAGAGACAACTGGACGTGTTCCTGGGCACAATCCCAGATCGACCTCCCCTGCAACACTACCAGCGGCGAGAAGCAAGCAACAGCATCGTGCATCAGGTGGCCCAAAGATCCGTCGTGGCCTGGGACTGCTACGTCCGAAAGAGATACTTAGGATACTAAGGTATTCTTCATGGGCAAAAAGATGGTATAATCTCAATGATTGAGATGGTATTGTAAGCAAGACGGTTTATCCGAACATTTGCCGAGCAGGAAAGTGAGCTTGGTATATTGCACGACGGGAAATGGTATTAATAACGAAGGTACTCATGAAAAAATACAAAGCATAGTGAATATGAAGAAAGAAATAAACCCATCGAATGGCTTGCGCTGAATCACATGGTAATATTCAGGTCTATATATAGGATGGTATCATCTAGGTGTGAGAGATGGTATTACATAAAAGTAAGGTATGGTATTATCTGGGTGGTCGAAATAACATAACATAACATAGTGATGTCGGCGCTAGAGTGTAGGCCTGATGTGGCCTGTCGCCGAATCTTGAAATTTTCGTGCCTTGTTCACAGAAGATCTAAAACTAAATCGTGTCATTTGACTGGATCTTTTCATGAGTGACGATATTTTGAAGTAGCTACTAGTCTTCCACCGGGTTCGATATGGTGCTAGGCATTTCAAGTCTGAACATATATCAAGTCTGATAACATAGGAGCAATGTATGGTATTGTCTAGGTGGTAGAGATGGTATTACATAGGAGCGAGGGATGGTATTGTCTAGGTGGGAGAGATGGTATTACATAAATACACCAGTAATAATAAAAACAATTATAATAATAATAAATAAATTATAAGAAAGTTTAATTTCATTGCATGTAGGAGCAATGGATGGTATTGTCTTTAGGGGGAGAGATGGTATTATTCGAGTGTAACGAATAATATTATTTGGGGGATATAAAAGAGTAAAGAATATCATATGCAGGGTAACTAGATATTGTTCTAGTGGTAGGAACAGAGGATGACCCGGAGCGTCCTTATATATTGAGTTATACTTCGGCCCAAACATGATCATATATTAAATTATGAAGATACATATATATCTATGTATCTTCATATACTGTATCTATATATCTAATATAGATATATGATATATTAGATATATCAAATATCTATATATATATATGAAGACACATATATATAGATTTTGGATTATGTTCACGTGCCTCTTACCTGCAGGTTCACGTGCCTCTTACCTGCAGGTTCACGTGCCTCTTACCTGCAGGTTCACGTGCCTCTTACCTGCGAACCTGGAACCTGTAGACTCGACCATTACGCTGGTCGAGTCGTGCTGGTCGCTCACGCCGTACCTGCGATAACAAAAATATATTTAAATTATTTATAAGTTATTATAAACATTTATAGTGAATACATATAGTAAAGAATTGTTAGTTATTGAAAATAGTGAAAACATATAGTGACATCACCATCAGTCATATCACCAACACGCGCTTATTACGCGAGTGACATTAATGCCTGCTTAAACTATTGCTGCTTAATTAGACATTAATGCCTGCTTAAACTATCGCTGCTTAATTAGACGTTAGTGCCTGCTTAAACTATCGCTGCTTAATTAGACGTTAGTGCCTGCTTAAACTATCGCTGCTTAATTAGACATTAATGCCTGCTTAAACTATCGCTGCTTAATTAGACATTAATGCCTGCTTAAACTATCGCTGCTTAATTAGACGTTAATGCCTGCTTAAACTATCGCTGCTTAATTAGACGTTAATGCCTGCTTAAACTATCGCTGCTTAATTAGACATTAATNAGAGCATATAAAATTCTTACGTAATTCGAAGTATTAAAATACTGACGTGAAATAAATATCACAAATGGCACCGGAAATTGGCCCAAAATATCGTGCTATGCGAATGAACTAGATCGAGGATGAAGTTCATTCTCCTATCACTGTTTCCAACCCCTACCCCTCATCCCTCTCTCTAAACCCCCCCATGCACGGCCTGCGTATCTGCTCTGTACAGCTCCCTGACGGGCAATGCCAAGTACCAGCGCTAAAACAGCGCAGAGTTCCGTCTCTGCCGAGCTGCTAGAATTTTGTCTCTGTATCAGCTATGGCGCAGCGCAGTTTTAGGGATAGATGGCCGGTTATAGTTTCACGGCTCCATCCTGCTAAAGCGCGACCAGCCCGTCTAAACCCGGCGCCGGTCTCGGCTCAAAATTTTAACTGGGATGCCTGCTGATAATATCGCTGCTAAATTAGAGGTCCTGAACAAAGCAAATGTCTGGCCGAAAGTTGAAGTTGTCTGAGAGAAACCCTCGGTACTTAAATCGAATTGTGAGGGACAATCCGGAGACCACGGCTGTTAAAATTACACTGTTATAAAAATTACGGTTAACGGTTATACCGGCGTTTCAGTGGCCGGTCGGCACATGAAAAGAAACACCGTATCGCCGTTTTTATTCTAATTTAACACTGGAAATCCGTAAAACATTCGATAAAAACGGTGAAACAGTTTATTTTCACGGGGCACCGGCCACTAGAATGCCAGTGATACTGTTTTTTCACCGTTTTTTCTAACAGTTTACTGCAGGTCTCAATGGACACCTACAGAACCCAGTTTCCATAAAGACTGTCCACCGAGAACTGCACTGATCTGGATTCTGTGGATGAATTGACATTAGAAAACATTTTATTTCGCATACAAATGCTTCAGAGCGTTTAGAGTGGTGTATAAACCTCCAGAATTGGTACCTCGATCAGTGTAAAATTGTGATTTTCAGCGACAAATCATCGTTTACCTTATTTTCAACCTCTGGCCGAGTTAACGTTTGGAGACAGCCATATGAGACTGCCTCCTCCCAACCGTTAAACATGACGTGGGATCTGTGATGATCTGGGATGCTATTTCTTGGAAATC